GCCTGTGCTGCAGCACCTCTTTTCACCCTCTGTCTGAAACCAGAACCCAGTCTGCTCTGATTGATTAGCTGGCCAGCGCTGTTGTGATTGGTCAACCACTTAGAGAAGCCCCTCCTCTTAGCCTATCACGTAAAAATCACACTTATAGGGCCTCTTTAAGTACTATATAAGTGAAAATGTGCTCTTCAATGGGTCAGGGGGAGAATTTGCCCCCCAAAAAACATTATGTTGGACCATGAATCCAAACTAACACAAAACAAAGTAAAATATTTGGTCCAGATGTCACAGTGTGCAGAAGGAAAGTACTTCTGACATTTCAGTTGTACATTTAAGGATTAAGGTTTTACATTTTGTGTGTGTTTCTGTTTAATGAGATTAATTGTAATCCTTTTTCCAGACAGCAACATCAATATTTAACTATTCAACAACACATCAAATGTTAAGAGTTTTGAAATGTTGTATCAATGACAGTATGGGCAAGGTCAGGTGAGATGGTAGATTTTTGCAAAGGGGAAGCACAAAATGAATTGTTAAACAACAACAACAGCAGATGTTATAAACACACACACACACACACACACACACACACACACACACACACACACACACACACACACACACACACACACACACACACACACACACACACACACACACAGAGTTCATGGACAGTAATTGGACATTTTCTCCAAACTCTTAGATGGATTTTCCAGCCATGCATAAATGTGACATACGGATTTTGTGTCATGATTATGTTGGCGGGTGAATTAGCTGCAGTGACATCTAATTTCATCCCAAATCGGGAGTTTTCCAACCTTCCATTTGAACTAAAAGTTGCTCCGAAGTTTCTAGAACTTACCTTGACGATTATTATCTAAATTAAAATCTGCTGTCCTGGAGTAAACAGAATATTACAGTAATTGGTAATAAGCCCAGTTGGTGTGTAGGCAGTCGAAATGCCCAAGGAGACATTTTGCTAATCAAGTGAAGGCCGATGGAACATGTCGAGGCAACATCTTGAACCAAATCCCAGACTGGGTATTTGCTACAATTTGTAAATCTCATTATGTGCAAACACATATTCATAGCCCATTATAACCCAAAGGTCAGCTCAGAGCTCCTGCTGTCTCTCCTTCTCTGTCCTTCTGCATATTTCTGCAGAGCATGCCCTGTGTGTGCACGTTAATTGGCAGATAAATGTCTCACATCCATCCCCCTGCAGAGATACTGTATTCTGCACAGGTCAAACATGAGTGTGTGAGATGTTTTATAAAAAGTTAATCACATTTAGTGCTAATAGTGGTGCAGTGATGCAACCCAGTCTCACGGCATTTCGTGTTACGACATTTAATCTATTGATATTGAACACGATTTTCCCATTTTTTTCGTGTCACACAGAACGATTTTAAAAGCAATGTATTTCTATTGGTAGTATGTTTCGTGCCGGCACCTCGTCTTTTTGTCCAGTCGGGTCTTGGAAGACCGGAAGCTGTGGGGTTCATAAAAACATGTTCTTACTCAATATCAAGCCACGATTATTGTTTTTATTTTAAATTGTATAATGTCGGACTTTTCTTGCCGTCCGCGAGGAAAAGAAATGGGGCTCAGAACCTCAGAATACTGACATCTGTATTTATTTAATCTTTTCCTTGTAATTTGATGCAGGCACGAAACATAGGCTACTACCAATAGAAATACTTTGCTTCTAAAATCGTTCTGTCTGAATACTAAAATCTGTATTTTTTTAAATAAATGTTTCCTTCTAAGTTGTTATTATTCACATTGCTTTCAAAATTGTTCTTTGTGATTTGGAAAATTGTCTTGGTGAACACGAATCAATAGATTACATGTCGGGACTATAACACCAAATGCCGTGAGACTGGGTTGTCTGCACAGGTCAAACATGAGTGTGTACCGGCGGGTTGTCACTCAGAGTGTGTGGAGCGAGCAACAGCCTGTGATAGATGGCAATGTAATTCCATAGGCTTCCCTGTGTGATATAATGATGTGAGTGAGTGAGCAGCTGACAACAAGATAATCGGATAAAGGCATGATGGACAGGCACTCTCAATGAATCTGTAATTGAGTCAGGAAACTAGCTTGTTGAGAGAGGAAGATGAATACAGATCGAGAGGAAGTGTTGATGCAAATCGGAGCGACCTGAATGAAGATGGAGTCAAGGTTTTTTTTTTTTTATATCTCACACTGTGAAAGAAAGTGCAAGTGAAAAATACAGCTAAGTGAAAGACAAATTATTCTTCAACTCGCGCTGTCGTCACTGTTCTTTGAAGGGCAACATGCAGTGGGAGTTAAAAGCATTCAGACTCATGTTATCCTTTTAATCTCTTCTTAAATATATTTGATAAATGTTAAAGTGCTGGTTTGAGCTCTAAATGTGAGTTTAAGGGTGTTCACAAACATTTTTAGAGACTCATTTACATAGTCCCCTGCTTAAAGTGGACCTATCATGCTATATTTGAAAAATATATTGTAGGGCCATACCTATACAAAACATTTCTGTGAAGTTTTTTTTTCAAAATACTAAACAGATCCCCCATTGTAGCCAAGCCTCATACTGCTCACACTCCTCTTGTGCAGCCCTGTTAGAGAAACGCAGATGATGGGTCCTTAGCTTAAAAAAAAAGAAAGAAAAGGAGGCGGAGCTAATGCCTGATCAGAATTTTATCGGAGATAAAGTTAAATTCTGCTGTGATAAAACGCCATCCTGTTCTAAACCACATCAAGGATTATTTCTGAAACAGTATAATGCTTTTTCTCTTGCAGGTTTATCACAAGCTGAGTTTCTTTTTTTATTTCCTGCTTTTTAAACACATGTGCTCTCCAGTGCAGGTTAGCTCTGAGTGTTAGCGAGGCTTGCTAATGTAAACAAAAACGAGATTACGTCCAAAACACGTCAGGCATTGTTTCTGATAGCAACTTTCTGTGGGTCCGCCGCTGATTTGACGTCAGTTCGGATGGAATCTGTATCCGCTCGTTGTTCCCCCGTTTTTAAAAGATTTGGGTACGGAGGAAAAGAGAGAGGGTTTTATTTTCTGACGCTGCGTGAGTTCCCCGACGCACCGGAGACACATAGTTATGTATAAAAGACATCACAAAGTGCATTTTGCATGATAGGTCCCCTTTAAGTTAGTAACGTGTTAACCTTGACTTCATACTGTGTGTTTTTAGAGTGTGTGTAGTCTCACCTATTAACACAGAGAAGAAGAAAATGGGCATTGGGATGTTGAGAACGGGACACGTGATGTTCAGGAACCAGTTAGGAGTCATGGGGAAGAAACGGAGGAAAAGGAGGAAGAAGAACAAACTGCTACGATTTTCCTCCACCTGACAGAGAGGAGAGGAAGAGAGGGAGGAGGGAGGAAGAGAGAGAGGAAGAGAAGGAGGAGGGAGGAAGAGAGGGAGAAAATGAAGGGGAAAATAGATGAAAGCAGAAACAGCGGCTCTCCAGGCTACTCTCCAACGTTGCCTCTGTGTGAGCAGCTTAGCTCGTTTACGTTAGCACGGCTACTCTTCTAATCCACTGACTGGATGAACCGACCTTCCTCTGCAGCAGAGCCACCTTGTCGGGGAAGAAGTGAACGACGTGCTGCTTCCCGAACGCTGAGGAGAGCAGGAAGCAGAAGGTGGAGCCCACCGTGGTCAGAAGGCAGGCCAGCACGAGACCCTCCCAGGGCCCGAAGATTGCTCCGGCTAACATGTTCTGGAGAGGGGAGGGATGGAGAGAAGTCATTAATGTCAACTGAGCAGAGAGCATCGTTCCTCTGAGTGTGGAATCAGGGTGAGGATCTGGAAACCTGTTGCTCTCCTCGAGGTTCCATTTCCCCCACATTAACTCTGAGTGTTTCCTTGTCTGATGTGAGGGTCTTCGGACAGATGGTGTCATATTGACTGGCGCACAGAAGGAGTTATTCGGTCTAATCGTATTAAGTCCTGGGACCCTATCTCAGATTATTTAGATTTAAGATTCAAGGCGTCATGGTCATGTGCACAGCAGCTACAGTGTAGATATGACAATGAAAAACTGAAGTCACAGATGATACGGCAACAATTCATATTCGCTGTTCAGGACATAGCGGGGGTCAGACACAAAGTTAATACTGTACTATGGTAAGTTATTGAAGGGTTGTCCTATGATCTTTGTGTAGATTTGACCTCCAACCTCTTCTGGGTGTGTGTGTGTGTGTGTGTGTGTGTGTGTGTGTGTGTGTGTGTGTGTGTGTGTGTGTGTGTGTGTGTGTGTGTGTGTGTGTGTGTGTGTGTCTCACCAGAAAGGAGGATCCAGGTATAGCAAAGGACTGTTTGTAGAGATACGCGCTGCAGAACAGCAGCAGCACGTAGCTGTAATGTTCTCGTTTATAAAGCTTCAGCATCTCAGCGAGCTCCCGCAGAGAGTCCAGGTCCGACGGGAACTTCAGACTGGAGGGAGAAACACAACGGGACAAAACCATGGTACTTAAAGTTTAACAACAAATTCCTAAAAACTGTTAACATTTGCTTGTTTGTTTTTTTCACATTTTTATGTGACTGATTTCTATGTCTGTGTGTGTGTGTGTGTGTGTGTGTGTGTGTGTGTGAGTGTGTTTGTGAATGTGTGTGTGAGTGTTTGTGAATGTGTGTGTGAGTGTGTTTGTGTATGTGTGTGTGAGTGTGTTTGTGAATGTGTGTGTGAGTGTGTTTGTGTATGTGTGTGTGTGTGTCTGTTTGTGTGTGTGCGTGTGTCTGTTTGTGTGTGTCTGTTTGTGTGTGTGCGTGTGTCTGTTTGTGTGTGTGTCATTTTGCGTGTGTGTTGGGGGGCAGTAACAGGATACATTTGATTGAGGGACAGAAATAGAGCCCACACACACACACACACGTCTGACACTCAAGATGCCCACTTCCTCTGTCACCTGCTCTGACATTCAGTATTACTCGTTCTCATTGGTCATTGGAAAAACATGCTGCTCTGTGATTGGTCAGCGGCTCGATGATGCGTTAGCCCTTGGATACGTGAAACTGAATGAAAGGGAAAAGTGTCCCTGTGGGCAACTTTTATTTCGCTTACGCATAACCCCATGAGAAATTATGGCTTTGCACATGACACACACACACACACACACACACACACACACACACACACACACACACACACACACACACACACACACACACACACACACACACACACACACACAGGTCCTGCTCTCTTGGCTCAGAGTGTCGTGGTCGGCGTTATTCTAGCATCCCTAGACAACCTTTACTGTCTGGTACATGGCC